GGGAATGGTAAAGAAATGAAATCATCAATTCTGTGATCTGGTGAGGGGCACAGCCAGCACTGAGGAATTTAAAACTTCAGGGTCTAAAGAAAGCAGTGGAATCCCGTTACCCTGTGTGTACAAGAGAATGAATATGCCTAAAAACATTTACTAAAAAGTCAAATGTTGGGAGGAGATGCAAAAAGTCCCTTCCCTCTGTGCCCTGTGCTGACACAGGACAAAGCAGCCCCGAATGGGAATTTGTGACATCCTGGAAATGCTCCTGTCAGGCCACAGAGGTACAGGATGTCCAAGCAGAACCTTTGGCACTAAAAGGGCTCTGGTAATCTCATATTTGCAGAGAGTTTCTGTGAGCAGCCAAGGCAGGGGAAGATTCCTTTATTCACATAATCCCAGCACCAGGAGGGCGAGCAGGACACAGCCAAGCAGGAAAATAACAATGGATAAGCAAGAGCTGGAGCACACACTGAGCTTTTTCAAACTCCTCCCCATCATGGATTTGTCAGAGTCATCACAGAGTCTTACCTGTTCCCTCAGGAGCTCAGGCTGTCATCAGGCTGACACTGAGCAAACACATTCTCAAGGCATCAGGAACATTTGCTCAAACACAGGACTGGCATTCACTTTTCCCAGGGCTTTGAGTCATCTCAGCAAATCTGAGAGTTGATTTTTGGTTTATTTTTTTGTTTTACCTGGCATCCTATGGAAGTAGCAAATATTCGGTCACATGGATGTGTGTAAGTGTGTTTGGGTTTTTTTTCCTCTCTGTTTTCCCATCCCCTCCCCCAGTATATTTTACACTTAATGGCTATTTTCCCTCCTAGTTCTTGTCAGAAAATTAGAGAACCATGTTTTACTGGAGACCACGCTGTTCCCCTGTCAAATCCTTGGCTTCCCACAGGCCCGGTCATCCCTTTGGGAGATGAAGTGAAACATTAGTGAGGCATGGTGGATTTTGACTCTGGCACACTCATCTTCTGCAAGGAAGCAACAGAAGTGAAATCATGCTTATTCAATCACCTGCCTACAGAGAAAAAAATAAAAATTAAAAAAAAAAA